GAGGGGGCCACGAATGTGGCGACAGCTTCGCTGTTCGAAGCCCCCCGGGACGGCGAGGCCTCATTCTGGTCCGCGGATCACGCCTCTCCGCTGGACCCGCCAGCGGCCCACGAAGGTAGCGACAGTTTCGCACATCGCAACCCCCCACTCGTTCCCTCGTTCCTTTCCCAGTTTATCATTTTCCTCTTCCTCCTGTTCTGACTCCCTCCTCGTCCTATCTCGCCCTCCTGGTGTCATCCTCCTCACCTTCCCCGACCGTCTCTCTCTCCCTTTTTCCTCGCCCTCCTCTCCTCTTCTTCCCTTCATATCATTTCCTCCTCTTCTTTCCCGATCGTCTCACTGCAATGCTCTGCCCTCTCAGAGGGCTACTGATTCCCAAGAGAAGCGCGACGACCATGCAGCATGCAGTCTGTTTGGCACGGGGGACGTCCAGAGACAAGTTTCGGGTGCGTCTTTGCGGAGGTGGCCGCGACCCCCCTCGTCGTCACCGGTCCCTCTAACCTTTCATCGGTGACTATGGCCTCGTCGCGGTATGTCGCCGTCTCCCAAACACAGGAATGCTTATGACCCGTCCGGGAATTATGACGGACCGCCACCCCTCTCACGGTCATCATGTGCTTGCAGACGTCATCCATTCACCGAGTGTTTGGGTGCGCGTGGCCGCAGGACCAAGATTGAGGCGAAGCGAAGCGAGCCCTCAAATCTTGTATATATATATACACATATGTGTGTGTACAGAGAACATCAGGCCCTGCAGGGCGAAGTCGAGGAGAAAGCTGAAGAATTGATAACATCAGATCGTCGGAGATCTGGGGCCAGAACTTCAGCCGCTGCGACACCCCGCCGGGGGCACCTTCGCCCTGCGGATGCGCCTGGGCCTCCCCCGGCCATCTGGTCCGACGTGCCCGGCGCCGCCGAGCCGCACCGCGTGTGGGGCGACGATGGCCAGGGCCCCGCAAGCCAGGACCCTGCCAGATTCTCAGCGAGCGAAGAACGGTATGAAATAAACTTTTTCGCTGTCGGGGGCGCCTGTCCCTGGGCGGCTGGAAAGTTAATACCCCTACGGTGCCACCGTGAGGGTATAAACTTTCCAGCCGCGCAGGGACAGGCGCCCCCGACAGCGAAAAAGTCTATTTTATACCGTTCTTCGCCCGTTGAGATTCGGCGAGAGAGAACGAGCAAATGGGCGGAGCCTCCACCCACCTAGACATCCCACGGGATCGGGGCGTGGCAATCTCTTCACGCTGGGCGTTCTCGCTCGGTTTGGGGCCCCGGGACCCTCGCAGATCGATCCGGCTCGAAAACGCAGCAGAAAAACTTGGCCCAGGGTTCTGGTCGAGTTTTCCTACGATGTTGCAACCAACTATTTCGTGACGTCGGATCCCAGTGTCGGACGATCAGTTTTTTGTATCTTATTTTTATCTTTATCCACGGCTCGAGAGTTCCCGACCCCTTTCCCAGGTAGTTTTTTCGTGCCGGATCCGTTCTCGATGGCTCGGGGGTCCGACAGAGCGGCCCTCAAAGGGCCGCCATTGAGGAAACCACGCCGGGATTGACAAAATCAGATCATCGGATTTGTACGCCAGGAGTGGCGACGGAAAGTATGGGTGCGATGCCCAACAGTTGTGCCTGTTCATCTCGAACAGGAGTAAGTGTCCTTCGGAACCCTTCTGGCAAGAATTCTTGTCATTTTGACAGCAGTTCTTGTCCATGTGGGCAGCACGCGCCGACAAACGGACAGGAACTGCCGTCAAGATGACAAGTTTTGTTGTCCGATGGGCCCCGGATGGCAGCAAGTCTTGCTCTGGATGAACAGGCACCGGTGTTGGGCATCGTACCCATACTCCGGATTCCATAATAAAGTCGGGGGGGTCACATTTGGGGGGGGGGTCTGATTTGAGCTGTCTTGGAGGGTTCGGGGGGGTCTGGGCACAGGGCCGACCTTTCATGGATGGTCTGGGGGGGCCTAAGACTTCTCGTCTGGAAGGGTTGAGACCCCCTCCCTTTTGTTACGAAATCTGGAGCACCCATATCTTCTCTCCCCCCTCGGGGCGCTGCAGCCTTCTCCTAGTGCGCCGAAGTGCCTCGGCTCGTCAAGGGGGTCCCTGGCCTGCGGGGGCCCCGGCGATGGCCCGCCCGCGGGGCGCTTCTTCCTGACGCACCGCGGCCAGGTGGACGAGGACATCTGCCGCTGACGCGCTCACTCGCGCCGTCACAGTGGAGCTGCGGCCCAGGCGCGGGTGTCAGAAGCGCCCAGGGACAGTCCTTCTCCTCGTCGTCGTTCTTGTCGTCGTTCTCGTCGTCGTTCTCGTCGTCGTTCTTGTCGTCGTCGTCGTCGTCGTCGTCGTCGTCGTCGTCGTCGTCGTCGTCGTCGTCGTCGTCGTCGTCGTCGTTCTTGTCGTCGTTCTTGTCGTCGTCGTCGCCCTCCTCCTTGTCCTCCGCCTCCGCCGCCCCCCTCCCTATCCTCCTCCTCCGCCTCCGCCTCCGCCTCCGCCTGCTCCTCCTCCTCCTCCTTCCCAGACGAGGAAGAGGTTCTTTTCCCAGGGGAATTTTGGGCCTCCCAGGAGGCCCTCGTCGCCACGAGGAAGAGGTTCTTTTCCCAGAGGAGTTTTGGTCAGAACGCGTCATTGAAGGTGTCTGGGGAGTAGCGGTATTGGTACCTTTGAGTTTCTCTCCTCCTTCTCCCTTGGCTTCCTCCTGCTCCTCTTTTTCTTTTTCGTTATCCTCCTCTTGGAGTCGTGGAGGCAGGTGAGTTCTTGCTGGATGCTGCTAGCTGCTATGTCTGTCTTCGCATGGCCCCGCAAGCGAGATTAAGCGCCAGGGTTTAACTTCTCAACTTAGAGGATCGCAATCCGCCGCCGCCAACTGGGGGGGCTCAGGTTGGCTCCAAACTTCCGTTCCCGAGGGACTTGAGGACCCAAGTCACGCACGCCTGGCCTGGACGGCAGCCTGTTTCGGAAGCTGTAACCGCAGGAGAAAGAGGAGAAGGATACAGATGAAAAGGAGGACGATGAGCAGGATGATGAGGATGAGAAGGAGAAGGCGGAGGAAGGATTCGGAGAAGGCATATGCGGATGAGCAGGAAGAGAAGGAGGAGGAAGAGGAGGAGGAGGAAGAGGAGGAGGAGGAGGAGGAGGACAAGAAAGAGGATGATGATGATGATGCTGATGATGATGATGATGAGGAGGAGGAGGAGGAGAAGGAGAAGGATGAGGATGATGTGGAGGACGAGGAGGAGGACGAGTAAGCGAGGAGGACGGGCAGGAGGAGGAGACAGAGGGTGATGGTGATGATGATGGTGATGATGCTGCTGCTGATGATGCTGATGGTGATGCTGATGCTGCTGATGATGCTGATGATGCTGATGATGCTGATGATGCTGATGGTTACGACGATGCTGCTGCTGATGATGATGATGTTTATGATGATGCTGATGATGATGCTGGGGATGAAGATGATCATGATGATGAGGAGGAGGGACATCAAAACATTGATACGTTGATGGTACATGTAGTGATGATGCTGATGATGATGCTGCTGTTGATGCTGATGCCGCTGCTGCTGCTGATGATGATGATGATCATGCTGCTGACGATGTTGATGATGATGCTGATGATGATGATGCTACTGCTGATGACGATGTTGACAATGCTGATGACGATTATGGTGATGAGTACGATGATGGTGATGATAATGCTGACGATGCTGATGCTGACGATGATGATGCTGCTGCTGATGCTGATGCTGATGATAACGATGATGCTGGTGATGATGACGATGCTGATGACCAGCATGATGATGCGGATGCTGTTGAGGATGAAGATGCGGTTGACGATGCTGCTGATGATGGTTATGCTTATGATAATGATGTTGATGATGCTGATGATGCTGATGATGATGATGATAAAATGATGATGATGAGGATGCTGCTGATGCTGATTATGCTGAGTATGCTGATGATGCTGCTGCTGATGGTGACGATGAGGATGATGCTGCTGCTGCTGTTGATGATGATGACGACGACGGTGGTGGTGGTGGTGATGATGATCATGATGATGGTTATGGTGGTGATGCTGATAATGCTGATGCTGCTGGTGATGATGCAGATTCTGATGATGAGGATGATGATGATGACGACGATGATGATGATGATGATGATGATGATGATGATGATGATGATGATGATGATGATGCTTATGAATATGATGATGCTGCTGCTGCTGATGATGATGATGATGATGATGATGATGATGAGGAAGAGGAAGAGGAGGAGGAGGAGACCGAGGACACGATATGGCATGTAATTGGCGCTTCGCGTCTTCAGCTTTTGGCTTCTCTCTGGAACGGGGGCCCGCGGCTCCCGTGGGAGGTCTCAACCTCTGGTTCGGACGGTTTCAGCCTCCAGGGTGTTGATTCCATGCGCATGTTTTGTTGAATCTTTTTTGGCGGCGCAGCCTCTCACTCGATATTTTCACCGCCTGCCAGTTCTGAAGCTCGTGCCCTCCAGCTCGGCGCTCAAAAGTTCGAAGCGTTTAAGTTGGGGGATACCGATCTGCAGTGTTGAGCTCAGGTATCATTGGAGGCTGGGGCGTTCAGTCTGAACATATTGGAGCCTTCCTGCTGCTCCCTCCTCCACCTCATCCTTGCCCTTGCAGTGCGTGGGTCTCAGATGCATGTGGGAACGCGGCTTCATTGATATTATGATGATGATGAGGATGATGATAATGAGGAGGAGGAGGAGGAGGGTGCCCGCGGCGAGTCACCGCCGCACCCTGCCACTTGCGGATGACGGTAGAGCATGGATGCCCCCCTTGTCAGATACGCATTCAGCAGAGCATGGGTCGAAGCCGAGTGGAGGACGGCTGCGGTGATGCGACCAGCACTTGGCAAACGGAATCGTGGCATGTAGAGGCAGGGTGAAACGATTCCACACGAATGGTCGCAGACCCGTCGCTTCCACTGGTCGGGCGCACCTGCACGTGGCCACCATGATCCGCCGCAGTACTGCCTCAAATCAGCTGCTGCTCAAGCGAGAAGGACTGCGCGAGCGAGTGCCATGGAGGAGGAGTATGCCCACCCCTACGAGGACTCGATCGAGAACTTCACGACGTACGAAGATTACCTTGACAGCCAGATCACTGCGCAAGATCGGTTCTACCTCGAAGAGGACGAACTGGCGAGGCAGCTTGTGGAGATAGGCGGGAGGATGGCAACATCGCCCACCGCAACCAGACGACCCCCTCTTCTGCCTCCGTCTCTGCATTCTCCTGTCGATCCTTGTGTACGTTTCCAAGAATCGGCCACGCAGCCAGGGGGGAAGGCAGAGGGGGCGGGCCTTCTCAGAGCGCTCAGGTGGCCCCCAGCATTCTGAGAAGCTTTCTAAGCCTTCTCCGAAGCCTCGGAGGGCTTAGAAGGCCAGGGGGCTTCTGGGATGCCCCGCCGCCTTTGAGAGGGCCTGCCCCCTCTCGCTTCCCTCCTTCGGCGCGCCGCCGAGCGAATCGGGGCACAGCGGAGGCAGCGATCACAGCGGGGGCCTTCCACTGCGGAATGTTTGAGGCTGTCCGGCCCCGGGTGCATCCGTGCCCCTGCCAGAGCGGCGTGCGTGGTCGACGACGGGCCGCCCCTCGGGCGCAGGACCACCACCTCATCTCAAGGGCTCCCCAGCCAACTTTTCAATTGTATTCTGTCAAGGGCAGAACAAACAAAAACGCCCCTACCCTGGCTTACGAGGCGCTGTGCGCTGAAACTCCTGTGCGCTGACAGGGTAAGCCCTGCGTGATGTGCCGCGTCCTGGCGGCTCTAGGCTTGGGGGTTCCCAGGAGGTTTACAGACCACGCACTTGTAACCCAGGGTAGGGTCGTTTTTTCATCCCTCAATTCAGAGGAGGAGGAGGAGGCGGTGTCGGTACACTTGCCTCGTATTCGCTTTTGTGTCTCTGCGGGCAGGCCCTCGTCGCCACGGCTGGATTCGCCTCGAAATTCTGTTCAGAACGCGCCCAGGAGAGGTCCAGGGAGTAGCGTTTCCGCCACGCGCACGTCACATCATCCGCTTCAAAATCTTTCTGGGTTCTGGATTTCGAAGGCTCCAGTTTTCTTTACATTGCCATTCTTATTCTTCTTTTTGCGGCCTTCACGTAGCCATTCTCGGGGCCACGGGCGATCAAAGTTGACGAGACGTTGGACACGAGCAACATTAGCTGGGCCATCTGCAGGTGTGCAAGAAGCACGGCCGCGCTTCGCGCTTCGGCTGGGAAGTGCCCTTTTCGTCTGGGAGCGGCGGGAGGGTGCCGGAGAAGCCAGCTGCGTATGCATATTTGCTGACCCCCCCCCCTTCGCTACCCCCCGTCTTCGTCTGCCCCGACCCTCCCCGTTTCCCCCCCCCTCCAGAATCGACTCCCCGCCCTCTTCTGCACCGCATTTTGACCATGACCTCGGGTCGGATGTGGCCGTGGCGGCGAGGGCCTCCCCCCCAGAAGGTCCAGACGAGGAGCAGGAGGAGGAGGGGCGGGAGGAGGAGGAGGAGGAGGAGGAGGAGGAGGAGGAGGAGGAGGAGGAGGAGGAGGAGGAGGAGGAGGAGGAGGAGAGGAGGAGGAGGAGAGGAGGAGGAGGAGGAGGAGGAGGAGGAGGAGGAGGAAGGAGGAGGAGGAGGAGGAGGAGGAGGAGGAGGAGGAGGAGGAGGAGGAGGAGGAGGAGGAGGAGGAGGAGGAGGAGGGAGGAGGAGGAGGAGGAGGAGGAGGAGGAGGAGGAGGAGGAGCAGGAGGAGAAGGAGGAGAAGGAGGAGAAGGAGTCAGGTTAGCCAGGTCGGGCGAGTCAGAGGGCCCCGCCTGCTCCCATCCTCCCTTTCCACAGCACGATGGGCAATTCTGGCACAATCTTGGAACGCGTTCCCGCCTCGCAGACGGCAGGCGCTCGCGCGCGGCCCCGCGCCCGACGACCCGGCGAGCAGAGAACTGTGCGACCCGCGCATGGGGCGGGAGCGGCAAGACTTCTGCCGTGCGCGGCGCAGACGAAGCCTGCGCCGCGCTGACGCGGCCCTCTCACCCTCGAGCTGCGCGGCGCTCGGGCGAGGTCGGTATCTCGCCCCGTCTCGCTCGGCCCCGCTGCCGCTGCCGCTCTGATGCGACTCGGCGAGCGCACCGTGCGCCGCGCCCTCGCTGGAACGCCACTTCCGAGCGACATGCGCGCGGAACGTGGGCGAGGGCGACTCGCCGCTCCATCGCGCGGGCCCCCCAGACTGGCCAATGAGACGTGTGTGCCGCGTCGGGGCGGGAGCGCTGCTTTCAGACGAAATCTGAGCGGCGTCGGGGCGAGAGCGACACTGTCGTCCGCTCGCGCTTCGACGAGCTTGCGCGCGAAAAGGGTGCGCCGTGCCCGAGCGGGAGCTCCATTGTCTAGAAAAGCGAGCGCGGCGCCGAGGCGGCAGCGACAGTTCGGTTTTCCGCGCGGGATGCGCGCCGCGTCCCATTCACGCCCCGCATTTTTGCAACATGGGCGCCGTACTGTTCACGTTGGACAGTAAACATTGATCTGGTGTTTCCTTGCGATAGGTGGGATGCGACCGCCCAGATGGGGTTGCCATAGGCCAGTTGCGTGGTAGAGTGGGAGCACATACAGAGATAAACAATAGGGATCGGAGGGGAGGTCGTCCTCCCTCCTCCCCAGGGGGACCGATCCTGCTGCCACCGCGGTGTTCGCTGCCCCGAAGGTTGCCGGAAGGGCGAGGTGCTCTCCCGGGAGGAGTTCGCGGCGCGGCGCGAGGCTCCTCTTCCCTCCCTCCACAACTGCTCACTACAGTGGAGGCCCATGCCAAGAAGCACCCTGCTCGCCTCCACGGTGCCCTGGGTTTCTTGGGTTTCGATGGTTGTGCTGTGGAAAGCGTCGCTTCCACATCGAAAATCCATGAACGTCCTGGTGTCTCAGGGTTGGGTTTCTTGTGGAAGGTTTCTTGTGGACTGGCCTCCACTGTACGTTTCTCTGGTGTCCGAGGGGGGCCCCATTTCTCCTGCGTGTTGTGTTCATGTTTTCGCTAGTAGGATTGCCGTCCGTGGTTTTACGTATATTTTTTTCCGACGGGAGCGTCGTCGGTGTTTCAAAATAGTGTTCCCCGCTCATTTCCCCTCCTACGCCTTCCCCTGGCCCTCCTGCTCCTCCCGCTCCTTCAACTACTGCTCCTGCTGTTGCTGTTCCCCCTCGTCCTCCTCCATCTTTCCTCCTCCTTCTCTTCCTCCTCCTCCTCCTCTTCTGCTTATCTTCCTGCTCATCCGCCACCTTCTCCTCGAATGTGCATCGTTCCCCTTGTACGATCGGGTCCTTTTGATGGCTCCGGGTCCGCCATGACACCCGTCTGTGGATGGAGGGAGAGCCAGAGCAATGGAAAATAATGTATGGGATGGGTAGGATGTCAGTTATGGCACGAGCGCATCTAGCTTGTCCTCCTCTCCGTTTTCCCTCTCCCACTTCCTTTCTCCCTCCTACCTCGTACCATCTACATTCTACCTCCTCTCTCTTCCCCCCTCCTCTCTCCCACTAGTCGTCGTCGTCGTCTCCTCTTCTTCTTCTTCTTCCTCCTCCTCCTCCTCCTGTTCATCCTCCTCTCCTCCGCCTCCTCCTGCTCCTCCTTCTCCTCCTCCTCCTCCTATCTCATTCCTCTTTTCCCCCTGCCTTCTCTCCCCCTCACCCTTGCTTTATTTTACAATTACAGAATGTTAGCCATTGTGGACCCCAAACAGTGTATTTCGAGCATTCTCTGTTGTGCAATCTATGTTGTGTACTTTACGTGGGCCAACATATGTACTGGAATCTGCAATGTATGTTGTGCACTCCATGTCGTGCAATATATGTTGTGCACTTCATGCGTTGCAAAGTATGCGGTTCAAGTGGTGCAGTCCAGGCGGTGCAATCTATGTGGCGCCGTCCATTTTGTACAATCTATATGGTGCAACCTATGTGGTGCAATTCAATTTGACTGTCTTGAAGCTGTCCTCTCCACTGATCGTGCAAACATCCCACCCTCCCACCCGCAACTTGGTCGCAAGACCTCTAAGGACCGTGACGGCGGGTACCAAATGACACTTGGCAACGACACCGACGCCAACGACGACAGCGACAACGACGACGACGCCGACGACGACGACGACGACACCGACGACGACTCCGACGACTTCGACGACGACGACGACGATGACGACGACGACGCCGACGCCGACGACGACGACGACGATGACGACGCCGACAACTACGACGTCGCCGACGACGACGACGCCGACGACGACGACTTCGACGACGACGACGAAGACGACGACGACGTCGCCAACACAGACGACGACGACGAGGGAGGAGAAAAACGACGACGGCGGCAACGACGACATCGACGAGGGAGGAAGGAGGACGGCGACGACGCGAACGACGAAGAAGGGAGGGAGGACGGCGACGCCGACGACGACAACGACGAGGGAGGAGGGAAGACGACGACGACGACGCCGACGACAGCGACGAAATAGGAGGGACGACGACGAGACGCCGACGACGGACGACGACGACGATGAGGGAGGAGGAAGGACGACCACGGCCACAACGACGACGGAATCGGCGACGACGCCAAAGAGGACGACGACGACGACGTGGAAAGATAGAGGACGACGACGGCGACGACGACGACGATGACGAGGGAGGAGGGTGGACGGCGACGATGACGACGACGCAAGAGCGCGCACACATGCTTTTGTTGAAAATCCGTGTTGCGAAACTTTTTTTTTTTGGACAGTTGATTTTGAAGCCCTTCCGAAACCGAAGGTTTTCGATTGATTTCTGCATGCGCGCGCGACGACGCGCGCGCGTGCACTTCGTTTCATTTTTTGCAAAGGATTCTCGCGATGCTACGCGCGCAAGGGCGTTCGAACGATTCGACATGCGCGCGCCGGAGTCTTTTTGGTAGCATGTTATGATTATGTTGAAGAACTTATGGGTTTCTTAAGAACTCGCAAGAGCGCGCGCACACGCTTTTGTTGAAAATCCGTGTCGCGAAACTGTTTTTTGACATGTTTTTTGGACACTCGATTTTGAAATCCTTCCGAACTGCGTCCGGAACCGAAGGTTCTTGAAGGATTTCGGCATGCGCGCTCGACGACGCGCGCGCGTGCACTTCGTCTCACTGTTTGCCGCGGATTCTCGTGACGGCACGCGCGCAAGGGCGTTCGAACGAGATTGACATGCGCGCGCGAAGCCCGCTTGGTAGCATGTTATGAAGATGTTGAAGAACTTGTGGTTTTCTTCAGAATTCGCAAGAGCTAGCGCGCATGCATGCTTTTTTGTCGTGTTTAGATAATCCGCGTTGCGAAACCATGTGTTTTTGCATGTGTTTTGGACACTCGGTTTTGAACTCCTTCCGAAACCGAGAGTTTTTTGAAGGACTTTCGGCATGCGCGCGCGACGACGCGCACGTTTGCACTTCGTCTTTTTTTTGCAAGGGATTTTGTAAAGTTATGATTTTTGATAAACAAGTGCGCGCGTAGTATTTGTTGCAGAGGAGGACGGGGGGGGCGATACCGGCCCCCTCGGATGGCGTAGATTCATATTTAGGATGAACGATCGGGCAGGATCATATGTAAATTACCATACGTAAAGGGGGACCTTTCAGTCCGGGGGGGGAGGGTGGTAGAACTTATTTTTTAATAGAATGGAGAATCTATGTGGTGCAAGTAATTTCTCTTCGCATTGAGTTGTCCACTCCCCTGCTCGCGCAAACATCCCACCCACCCACCCGCAACTTGTTGAGCAAAACCTCTTGAGACCGTGATGGTGGGTACCAAATGGCACTTGGCAACAACACCGACGCAGACGACGACAGCGACAACGACGACGACGACGCTGCCGACAACGACTACGACGACAACGACGACGTCTCCAACGACTTCGACGACGCCGGCAACGACGACAACGACGACGACGACACCGACGACGACGACGACGCCGACGACGACGACGACGATGACGACGACGCCGACGACGACGACGACGCCAACGACGACGTCGACGACGAAGACGACGACGCCGACGACGACGTCGCCAACGAAGACGTCGACGACGAAGACGACGACGCCGACGACGACGTCGCCAACGAAGACGACGACGACGAGGGAGGAGGGAGGACGACGACGGCGGCAACGACGACAACGACGAGGGAACAGTGAGGACGGCGACGACGCTAACGACGAAGAAAGAGGGAGGACGGCGATGCCGACGACGACAACGACGAGGGAGGAGGGAAGACGACGACGACGACGGCTACGAAATAGGAGGGACAACGACGAAACGTCGACGACGACGACGACGAGGGAGGAAGGACGACCACGGCGACAACGACGACGGAAACGACGACGACGCCAAAACGACGACGACGAGGAAAGAGAGAGGACGACGGCGACGACGACGACGACGACGAGGGAGGAGGGAGGACGACGACGACGACGACGACGACGACGCAAGAGCGCGCATGCACGCTTTTGTTGAACATCCGTGTTGCGAAACCTTGTGTTTTTGTATGTTTTTTTGATACTCGATTTTGAAATCTTTCCGAAACCGAAGGTTTTTGAAGGGTGTCGGCCTGCGCGCGCGACGACGCGCGCGTGCGCATTTTTTCTTTTTGCTGAGGAATCTCGCGACGGCACGCGCGCAAGGGCGTTCGACAGATTTCTACATGCGCGCGCGAAGCCCGTTTGGTAGCCTTTCGTGCACATCTTGAAAGCACACCATGTTGTTTTGATTAAAACAAGATTTCGCAAGAGCGCGCGCGTAAGTTTGTTTTGCAAACCAGTGTCGCGAAACACTTGGTTTTTGAATCTCGATGTTGAAATCCTTCCGAAGTCGAAGGTTCTCGAAGAATGTCGGCATGCGCGCGCGACGACGCGCGCGTGTGCACTTCGTCCAATTTTTCGCGATGGTTTCTTGAGAACTTATGACTTTTGATGAACGCGTCTGCGCGCATAGTATTTTTTGCAAAGGATGGCGGGGGGGGGGTGTCGATACCGGTTTGGCAAGCATACTATGAATTCATATTTAGGATGGACGATGGGGCAGAATCATATGTACATTGCAATACGAAAAGGTGACCCGTTAATTCGTGGGGTGGTTAGAGTAAAAGAGATCTGGTTTTTACAAACGAGTTGACACATCCCGCGCTCTAGCACGCATCCCACCCACCCACCCGCAACTTGGTTTGCAAAACCCATAAGGAGGCGATTGCGATGCATGCTCGGCGTCGGCTGGTGCGTCTCGGCGGCCGCTCCAACCCAAGCGCACGGCGCAGCGGCCAGCTGGTCTGGCGCGACCGGCGCGGCCGCGGTGGCGCTGATCGTTGGGCACATACCAGCGGGCACTTCATTGCGAGTCGGCGACTTGGGCGGGCGCGGTATCATGGCAACGTCGACAGCGGTAGACGTTGCGGGCGAGTCTCCAACGACTTCGACGACGACAACGACGACGACGACAATACCGACGACGACAACAACCACGACGACGACGCCGACGCTGACGAAGACGACGACGACGATGACAACGCCGACGCCGACGACGCCGCCGACGACGACGACGGCGACGACGACGACGCCGACGACGACGACGACGGCGACGACGAAGACGGCGACGACGAAGACGACGACGACTACGATGGCGTCGCCAACGAAGACGACGACGTCGAGGGAGGAGGGAGGACGACGGCGGCGGCAACGACGGCCACGACTAGGGAGGAGGGAAGACGACGA